CCCACTGCTATCCCCATTGAGTGAACCTAACCAGAAAGCAGAGGACAAAATCTCTTGATGACTGGTCCATAGAAGTCAACATCCTAGGGTCAGGGAGGACAGAGAAAACAGATGTTGGGGTAATATAAAATAACAAGAATAGTTTCTATATAAGTTTAGGTTAAGTGACTTTACCTTGCTGGCTTGTGTCCTCTATGAAACAAGTGTTTTGAGGCTCTATTGAGATAACATATGCAAAAACAACTATAAAAAATTGCTCATTAAAACTATCCCTCACCTAGCCTTGCACACCCCATCTTCCAGTACATTTGTATCTTTGATAGTAACCCCTCAACCTAAAGCTGAGGCCTGGATATAAACCCTCACCCAAAGATATGGATAGAAAAAAGAATGGATTAACACAAAAGAAAAGGGAAAGTCCTATTCAATGAAATGCCTGTTCCTTCCTCACCTAGAATTCCTAAAAACAGGAAATGAGACTGAGTGGCATCTGTAGGAGGTTCAAAAGTTTTTTTCCCTACCCACTCCAGGCGTCTGCCCACAATCTGAGGTTTAAAATCTGTTCTTCCTTGTCCCAAAGTCTAGAGACATCAAGAGAGATTAAACCAGCTCTGGACATACTGTACTAGGCCAGAGTCATCTAGGATTTTAATGGATTAGGCATTTCCAGAAAATCAACAAGTTTGTGAGAAGATTTCTAAATCTGGGCCTATTTAATTAATCACAATCCTGTAAGTGAAAGCTGTTGTTGTCACATAACTAGAAATAGCATTGACATTTGCAATTACAAGTCTGCCTTTCTTTCTTAGATATGTTGCCATTATTTTCAGAGCTAAAAGGCACTTTGGAGATCATTTAGTTGAATTTTCTCATTTTTCAGATGAAGGAATCTAAAACACAATGATAAATACAGAACAAGAACTTCACCTTGATCCCTAGATTGCTAGTCAATCTTCTTACCACAACACATAGCCTCTTTATACTAAAGCTCTATAATCAAAAATTTCTGAGGTATTAAATTCTTTACATTAAATACTAGCAGACCCTCAGTTTTAAATGAGCCCAGAAATTAGCTTATTTGTGAAAAAAAGAAGTTTTTAAAAACAGGCACACCAGACAGTGCTCACCACAATTTTCTAAGTGTCCCATAACTTCATCTGGGAGGAAGAACATTCCTTCTTGTTGACAGAAAGTAACCCATCATGGGTCTTGACTTTCTCATTTTCTTAATGCTATATAACCATTTAATCATTTTTTTCAATTGCTATAATAATTCTATCTCCTATATTTCTCACTCTAAAAATAGTAGCTGTCCTTCATCTGCTAATTTCAATGGCTTTTAAATACTGCTGTCTGCTCTATATCTCAAGGATGACTTCTAGCTGCGTCAGTTACACAGACCCAGCCAGCAATACCCTGTTTGACTTACTCAGATGCCTCCACATCTGAGTAACTAGAGAGTTGAGCATTTTCAGGATCTGCATGTTAGCTCTGTGGTATAATGACTGATGTCAGCTTGAACTTTGCCAAAGATCTCTCATCACTGCTAGTTATATCCCATTCCAAACGACTGGGCTTGCTCTCTCTTTCTGGAGCACACCCCCTTTCACATATTTGAGTATGGATTCAACAATATGACAATCATTTTCTTTCCTTAAAGTGCCACTCCTGCAATGGACAAAAATAACTTGTTACTGTTGTCACTGCCTGGTGGGGGAGGTGGTAAAGGGGAGATGAGAAGTTGTAGTAACTAGCCTGGATGTGTTTAAGCCCCCATCTTTATCCAAAAGTATTCTATTCTCCTGGCCCGACTTTAAGTTCCTGGTTATTCAAACTCCCTGAGATTTTCACGTTTTCTAGAGAAAAACAACAAGCAAATGTTGACTTCTATGCTGAGCCTATGGTTTTTAACTTGCTTTAGGCTTGGGCCCCATAATCCTCTGGCAGGCACAGGCTTCTATAAGTGTTATTGATTAAAAATTTAAAAAGGTCCTATGTTGCACAAAAGTAGGCCATGGCATGCTTTTCGTAAGCTGCTAGAATAGTTGAGGGGATGGACAATTCAGCCAAGCAAGTAAACACACATTTAATAGTATGGTTACAGGGATCAGGAAAAAGTTATTCTAAAGCATAGCGTCAAGAGAGAAAGAATACACTCTTCATTTGTTTAATGTTTTCCTTATGTTTCCTCAGAACCGTGCTTATTCCTTGACTAGCTTTTCCTGCATACTGTATCTAGTACTTCTTTCCTGGGATGGCTCAAGACCTGCAGCTTCTGGCTCTGCTTGTTTATTTATTTACACTGTCATTTCTATTCTCATCCAAACTAACGTATGTCTGCACAATACAGAGTGAAAAGTAAATGTCTTTCTTCATGTTTATTTCCCTGAAGTTGTTCACTAAATTGCTTTTTTTTACATCCCTTTTGCAATCTCATCCCATCCGGCTCAAGTATCCTGGATTAGAAAGGCAGTCTCTGGAGTCCTTTTCAAAGGGAGCCTCCCACAGCCTTTAAATCCCCCACATTTTATGGTGCAGATATTCAGGATCTGAGGTATTAAGTAAGAAGGAAAGCAAAGCTGACTGGGACAGACACAGAAAAATAGAGTAGCTTCTTTTTTGGATAATCATTATTGGAATTGTCCTGTTATCTGAAATTTTTCTGGTTCAAAGTGATAAACTCAGTCATTTGCAACTGGACATTATGCAACAGATAAAGACAGGGAGTGTGTTTGTGTGTGTGTGTGTGTGTGTGTGTGTGTGTGTGTGTGTGCATGCACGTGTCTGTGCCTGCAATGTACAGAAAATACCATTCTACCACAAAGAAATAATTACAAATAAAAATTATTAAAAATAAGCCAAAAAATCATATCCTTGATGGGATTGTTGTCTTTCCCATAATATAAACTCTAAGGAAAACTACTCTTACTTCAAAATTCCAATACAGGTATGCAAAGTAACTAATAATATTTAATTAAGGAATTAACATGGAAAGGCCAGGTTCTCAGATTCTAATTTTTAGCACTTTAACAAGAAGGTGTATTCATGTTCCTTTCCTTTTGCTTCCGGGCCATTTCATCTCCTCAGTCCTCTCTTCTGGGCTGTATAACCACACCATTGAAGACTTCAGAGAAATACAGTCTGAAGCATCGCAAGCTTGCAAAATGGGATGGGTAGGAGCGGTAACCTTCTTATCCCCGTTATTAATAAACACATAAATAGAAGGCAATCCAGTTTAGGGATTATAAATGGAGGAGAAAGAGAGAAATACAAATCTTACTTGCTTTCCAGCAGGGCTTTGGCTATCTTCTAAACCTAAATTATTTGAGCATAAGAATTAGCAAGGTGTTTATGAATCAGGGACTTTTTCAAAGTGACTTCTCAGGGGCTGTGTAAAACTGTAATGCTGTAAAGTATAGTCCTTCGGATATTGTTAAATACAGCTACCTATTAGTTCATATTAAAATCACTTCGGGGGCTTGTGACTTTCAAATAATACTTTTTCAGTAACGTCTGGAAGCTCATCGACTTCTGCTTCTGGAGAAAAGCGGTGGGAAGCCTACCATTGACTAGTAACAGCCAGAGTGTACGCCGCTCAGAAATGCCGGCCCTCCGTTCTCCCATCCCTGGGTGGACCAGAGGCCTTTATTTCCCACTGCCAGGGGGCCCTTACCTGCGCTGGGAACAGAGGAAGTAGTGGACCTTCCCCATCTCCCCTAAGACTGGGAAAAATCTTTCCGAATATCATTCTCTGCTCCCTAGACGAGAAACGAAATTGCACAACAGATCTTTTCAAGACTGGGAGACAGCGGGTGAGAGGGAACGCGCGCCGAGCGAGGGCAGTCAGACTAAGGAGAGCACTGCCTGAGGAGTGGAGGAATCTTCCAGAGCCGCAGCAAAGGCTCAGTTTGGACGAAAGCCGCAGCACAACCGAATTTCCAAAGGGACGGTCCTGAACGCACACACGGCTGGGTCCTTCCCACTCGGGGCAGGTAACCCGCCCGCGAAGTGACCGTCAGCGCCCACTGAGCTCCTCCGGATCAGTCGCCCGGGAACCAACTGCAGCTACCTTTACTGAAAGAAAGAAAGCAAAGGAGTGGGTGCTCAAGAAAACCGGAAAGAAGCCCGCACGCAGAAACCCTCCAGCGATCTGCCTGGGTGGCGAGGGGCGAGCTGCCCTGGGCCAGTCGTTGCGCGCCGGTGCTGGGGGTGAAGGCGCGAGGTAGCAGGGGCGCTCCGCGGGGAGAGCCTGGGGCGCCCAGCCTGAGGCGGTGGAGACCAGCCGGGCTCAGAAGTGGGGGGCGGGCGTCTCGGGCCCGCGGGACCTTCGGCCTCAACACTCCTGGCACTAGGGCGCCCACCTCTCCCCGCGAAAGCTGCCTTCTGAGGGGCTCTTCTCGCCACGCTCTGCCTCCCCCGCTCCCCCCGCTCGCGTTCTCCGCCTTCCTTGCAGTGTCCAGAGATGCTCCGTCGCAGACCCGGGACCCCTTAGGCGCCTCTTCCCGTCCCTCTGCCAAATCGCAACGCCTGTACTTTTCCAGCTCCCTCTTTCCCTCTTGAAATTGAAAGTTATTGAGGTCGCTCAGGGTTGTTGCTCCAGCAGTTTCCTTCCCCGCCCCCGAGCTCCCCCCGCCCCCCGCAGCCATCCCCCCCTTCCCCCTCCCTCGTCCCGTCCTTCCCTCCCTCCCTCCCTCCCTCCACCACTGGAGCGGCTCCTACTCGCGAACAGCAGAAGCAGCTCGGGGTCTCTCCGCCAACCCCTTGGCCATGGCCGCGGTGCCGACGGCGCCCGCTCCCCTACGATCCCCGGGTCCCCGCCGTTGTCGCCGAAGCCGCCGCAACCTCTGAGCCCCAGGGGCCGCCGCCGCCAGTACCCGCCCGCCCGGATCCTGCCCGCCGCCGCCCCTCACCATGCTACCTGCGGCCGCCCCGGCGAGGCCGCTCGCTGCTCGTGGAACCCTCGCTCGCGGTGTTGACAGCCACCCCTGCGGAACCGCCGCGGTTGAGGGCTCGGACAATTTGAAAATACAGTAGTTGGTTTCCCTGCACCCGACCCGCTTCGTTTGCCATCCCAGCACGCCTATCGGATCTGAGTGGAGAAGTTGTCCGCTGCTTGGGGTCTCCCTCTCTATACGCCTAACACTTACCTATATTTCTAGAACATTTAATATAATTAACAAAAGAAAAGGAGGAAAGGAAAGGAAACATTACTGGGTTACTATGCACTTGCGACTGATTTCTTGGTTTTTTATCATTTTGAACTTTATGGAATACATCGGCAGCCAAAACGCCTCCAGGGGAAGGCGCCAGCGAAGAAGTAAGTGCAGGGTTTTTTCTACACGTTTGCTCCCTCCCGCCGCGTTCACCTGTAGGGTCTCTGCCTGTCCTGCGTCGGCTCCCGGCGTCAGCTGTCTTCCCTCCCTGCACCCCACGCCTCCGAGATCCACCGCGCCTTTCACGCCTTCCTCTGCGCGCCCTTCTCTTGCTCCGCATCCTCGCGGGTGCCAAAGCGGGCGGACCGGGCGTTAACGTGGCTCCCGCCCCCTCGTTACTTAAGGTTCGAGGGAGAGTTCGGGTTTTCGTTAGACCAGCTCTAGCTATTTGTGCTTTCCTTCCGTGACTGGGACGGGGGTCTGAAGCCCCTGGCATCCTAGACACCCGGCCCGCGAGATGTCCCCGGCCGCTGAGGAAGAGCCGGGGGGAGGAGCGGCCGCGGCGCCGGTTTGCCTCGCGTGGCTGCCTCGCTCAGGAAGACCTCGCTCTGGTTGCGAACTGCCCGCGGGCCAGCCGGGGAGCCAGCGAGCGAGCGCCTGCGCGGCGGCTACTCGCAACCACGCACGGATGGAGCAGGAGGGCACGCGGGGCGCTCAGGGTTCGCGTGTCTACGCGCTTGCAGAGCCGCTCGCGATCCCACTGCGGGGAGGGTCTGAGGACCGCCGAACCCGCCGCTGGGAGCCGGAGATGCCCAGTTTCCAGTTACGATCTTGCCTGTCACGCGTGAGCGCTTGCACCGTCTCAGGCTCTTTCAAGGGTCTCCTGGGGCAGACACAGAGTGAGGGTGGGGTTCCCCGTAAGCGCTCAGGCTCGCCTCCTCAACTGCTCCGTATCTCCTGTTACTTGGAAGGTTGGCTTGCGAAGTCGTCTTGAAAACAGTGCCCTAGCTGGGATTAAATGGGTGGGTACCCCAGGGCACCCTCAACCCCGGGTTGGTCTATCTGAAAGGTGGCGTCTTCTAGAGATTCGGAGACAGATGCGAGAATGGCACCTCTCCCTGCTCCCGGGGAGCCTGGCGCGCTGGCTTCTGTGCCCGCGTGGACAGTCCGTTCGCCAGTAGCAGGGCTGGGGGCGACCCTGGTTCCGGCGCGGGGGGCGCTGGTGGGGTCAGGGAGGGAGAACTCTTCCCGGAGTTCGCGGGACGCAGAGAACGAGGCTACTGCCGTAGCCCCCCAGACCTCCGCCGCGGGGGAGCCAGTGACGCTTGGCGGCAACGGGTCCCGCGCAAGGACCCAGTCTCGGAGCGCCTGCGGGTGAAGCCCCTCCGGGCGGGCGCGGGTGCAGCTGCGGGGACACAGCCCAGGCTTGAGTGAGATGGAGATTTAGTAATCGCTTCTCCGCCTCTGTTTGTCTCTGCCCTGTCCCTGGACGTGAGGGTCCCCTGAAAGCTCCCTTTGTGCCACTAGCCTCTGGCAGACAAAGTCTGGTTCACCTGAAAACTGCCTTTAAAAAAACGTAGCTGGGTCCAAGCGCCAGGGTCTCACCACCCCTGGGACCGCGTAGCAGGGGGCAGGAGGGCCCAAGCTAAACATGTCAGGGCATCCGATTTATTATTCTTGGCTTCTGAATGGTTTGTGTTCTTCGTAACTCCTCCATCCACCCTTTCACTCAAGGCAAGAGGCCGCCTCACCGAAGGGGCGGCCTGGGGCTTGAGCCTTGCCCTTGCGCCTTGGTGGTCCCTGCCTCCTCACCTCGCGGGCCCGCGGACACTTCATCTCAGGTCGGTGGGGAGAAGGATGCCGGGTCCAAGGGCAGTCTCCTGCTTTGCATTGCTCTGACACACTACTTCCTTCACCCCACTGAGGACCCCAGGGCCAGTAGCTACACAATTCGGGGGAGGGGGCCAGGGTCCTGAGCAACAGTGTAGAGGTGCCTCCGATTGTAGTTGGGGGCCCCTGTTTTTGAAGGAAGACATGCGAAAGAAACCTGGCCATCCATTCGTTCCCACCAGCCCCAGCTGCCCGGTGATGCTGCCCCAAGGCTGCGGGGCCCAGCGGGATGGCCCATCTCTAGTTTCATACTCCAGAGAAATCGAAGTCAAAAGGCGAACAGCTTTTCCACCTGTCTCAAGGCCAAGACAGAGGCGCCCTCTGATTGTGTAGTGGGGGTGAGGGAGGGAGTGCGTGGCACTGGGTTGAAATCCCAATTCTGTGGGAGTGGGGCTGGGAGAGAGCTCCCGTAGCAAGGGATGGATGCTCCTTGCTGCTTCGCCCTTGAGTCGCCTTTGCAGCTGGGTTTGCTGGTACAATCCTTGGAGAGGGGCGACCCCTTGCGTCCTTCGAGAAGACAGACTAGGCTCTTGGCAGGTGCAGTTTGGTTTTTGGAGAATGGGAAGGAGAGATCTTCGTTAAATGTCCAGAAACTCAAGGCCAAATTGCATGTGCACATACTTGTCTTTTGGAAATTTCTGAAAGAAACGTATAAGAACTTTGTCCTCCAATGCGGTCTAGGGAAAAAAAATTAATGAAAGGTAAAGTAATAGTCAAAGGTATTTCAGAAAATAGTTGTCTTTACTTTTTCCTAAAAGAGACAACTAAAATGAACATTTAAGAGTACCTCCCTTTGGCCTGTAGTTAAATAGCTTCACTTTCCTAAACTTCTAAAATACAAGAGGTAGAAAATTAAGGTGTAAGAACTGTTTTTTCACAATTTTTTTAAGTGGTCTCTTGAATGTTTTAGTAGAAACGTTTCTTGCAAAAAAAAAAAAAAGTAATTTGTTTGTGGTGTTGAGTATTGTCAAGTCTAAGGAATCATGGCTAATCCTCAGATGTAGCAAAAGCCACATTACTATTGTCCTGTTTTCCTGAAACAACTGCTATACCATTTGTCTATACTTTGTGAAAACTAGTGATCTTAGAGCATTTTAAACATAAATTTTGCACCTTAAAAATTATCTGTGGAGTTATGGGTGAGTAAATACACAATAACTTTTTACCTATTTGGATTCGAATATAGCTCCTAGAAATGACTAACTTGAACTTATTTAAGATAAAAAGGAAATGCAACCCTTATTCAAAATTCCCCAACCAGCAATGTTTTTAGAAGCAAAGTTTGGCTTTAAGTACAGCATTGAATCAAGAACCCAAATCCAGTTTTTAACTCACTTCCAGGTCAGTCTTTGCAACTTAGTATAGTCAGATTCTGAATTCCAGACTATCTGCTAATAAAAGTAAATGTCATACTTGCCATAATGATAATAACCACAGTACCTTACCATTGCACTGGATTTCCCTTGAGTTATACCCTCAGACCCCTAAATAGTAACTTGAAGAGCGGGTATTTATATTCCCATTTTACAGAGGAAGGATCCGAATAACAGAGGCTAAGTAACTTAATCAAAGCCATACAGCTAGTAGGTAGAACTTGTCTCCTGCTGCTAGTAGGTAGATTTCTACCTGCTGATCTGTCAGAGAGATGTCCGGAATGTTAAGTAATAAGTCTGATGTCTCCAGACCATCATTTATCCACTTTGTTTGAAGAATAAGCTGTTCTGGTTGACTGGAAATTTTTGAAGGGATGTTTATATTATTATACATTAGTGACCAATGTCAAAAAATTAAATATCTGGTAATAACAGCAATAATGAATAGTAATAGTGCAGCTTGCTAAATATAATAATATTATTCAGTTATTCTGAAGACATTGTAGGATCATATTATTCCAGAAGATTATTGTTAGAAACATCAGATGTCTTTGTAGTATCCTTTTTATCTGATGCCATCTATTAATTGGGTTTTAATTATCTGGGTTCTAGATACACGCAAGTTTTAAAAAGCCATTGTGTGCATTGCAATTACAAAGCTGTCATTGCACAATCTGTGAAACTTCTAAAACTCCTTCATAAGAATGTCTGAGATAAAGGAGTAACAAAATAAGGGAAATAATTTTAATGGTAATAAAATAAAACCATCCTGTAGGAATATATTGTCATTGTTCATGACATTGTTTCAGACATTGAGCCATTCTCTGAGATTCTGATACATTCTTGATAATTGCACTGCCAATTATGGTAAATATCAAGTTAACTATAGGATAAAAAATCTTTCATTCTCCTACACATTTTGTAACATTTAATTTGGTAATATTGTAATATTTAATTTTGAATGGAAGTATGGTTTGGAAATTGGCTACAATGCATTTTCTCACCTGTCTGCTTCAGTTACCAATGTACTTTGTTTTTGAAAGAAACATTAATAGATAGAAGATATGAGTAAAATTTGCTGGAAAAAGAATATTCTGCAACATATCATGTGATGTTTGTATGAACATATCATGTGATGTTTGTATGAGATTTACACTCTTAGGCAGTAATGGCAATATCTAAATACAAACAATTGTAAATTCTAATATATTCACTATTACACCTCAGAGTTATTTTTTTAACATATCCTGTTGTTATACTATTTTAATTCTTTATTACTTCAATAGAAGGATTTTACTTAGAACATTAAGGATGATAATTTTTGAATATTGTCTTTTTAATCCTAAATTACTCTATGTAAAGTAACTGAGAATATAAGAATGAGTGTGAAACTGACTTAATGTCATCATTTCATTGTTCCTCTAAACATGAAAAATGAACAGTATTTCAACTTATAGGTAGATAGCTCTTGATAAAATCATTTCTCCATTAAATATTTACCCAGAATTTAATATTCCACAAATTAGGTCCCCAGAAAGCAATGAATAGAAATTACAACATGTAGTTAGATTTGATTTTCAAGTTATGGGGAAACCATACATACCACCATACTACAAAACAAATTTATTAGTTGCTGGATCATTTTAAAATATTTAAATCTGGACAGAGATCTCCAGATTACTATTAAATATCTAAAAAACATTTTCCAATTACATGGTTAATCTTTTTTTTTTTAATGCAGTTGTTCTTTTAAAGTCTATGTAATGTTGGTGGTATATCATGTGGGATTGTCAGAATCCTAAATAGAGTTAAGACCAAATGGTCCCTCTGCAATTTTAAGAATGAAGTATCAAAAAATAAGACTGTTTTACATATAGTGATTTCTTAACTCATCTTTCCCC